GAGAAGTGCTCACTATCACAGATTTAGACAAATATGTGAACAATATTTGAAAGAAATAGACCTTTTGTGTAGATAGAAAAAGCTATCCATAGTTGCCAGCTCTTCTTCCTTTTCTCTTCATGTGGGTGAGTGAGGTGTGTGTGTGACACTCTCCAATTGGTTAATCAGCTGACTGAGGACACTTGCGGAGAGGCTCACCTGCTCTCAGTCTTCACCTTCCATGACAGATGGGCTTGGATCAATAACATCAATCGTAGAACAACCAACATTCTCCATGTTACCTCCTGCCTGGATCACCTGCCTCTGGCTGAAGCCACATCTCAACACTCATCCTGTCTGGACCCTTGTTCATCTCTGACCACACTCTGCAGATCTAAAACCTTGCACCCCTGCATTAGAATCCCTTCTAGCCACGCTGCCCACCTCCTCCGCCCGCATACCCCTGACCACTCTTCCTACTCCAGCTGGCAGCTATGCAGTTTAGTTCTGTTGTACGCAGGCTTATCTGGTGTTTGATAAATTCCCAAGATTAAGTCTGTATTGTCTTCCATAGTTTAGTGACCCACGTTTATTGTCAGTTGTGTCTTGTACATCTTCAGTGTATTTCTCCTGGTGTTTCCCTCGTAGTAACTGTTGCATTCAGATTCTAGTTTAGGTTTCCCTAGTCTCTACTTCAGTCCCCCATTCTTCCCTAGTTTATTCTTATTCCCCCTTCCTTTGTGTCCTCTGTTTTCTCTGTATGCACCTGGGTCTCTGACTTCCTGTGTCACAAATGAATGCAAATGTTACTCTTTTTCTACTCGATTGTGTTATTCTTATTTGTTTCACAGTATTTGTGCACAACAAAACAGGAATTAAGGTAAGGGGAATCAAATAAGTCGACAGAATGGAGCTATTAATTGCAGGTCTGCATTAAGATACAAACTCTGGTCTCCTGTATGAATGTCAGATGCACTACACACCCGTCCACATTCCTAACTTGCACAGACTAACTTTCCTTGTTTGTTCTTCATGTACACTCACTTTCACCTACTCTGCCCTCTCTTGTTATGTCCTTCCTTTGTTCTGTGGTCCTTTCCTTATTATTTGACTTTTCCTTCTTTTTCTTCTTGTACCATGTCTCACTGTGTCTCTGCTCTGTCATCATAAGATGCCCTGACTTTGTGGTAATGCCTACCATCATGCCTGACACCGGAGACCACCATTACAAAGCATAACAGTAAATCCTCAGGGGGAGCAGTATGGCTCATTGCCGAGAAGGCCCTCCACAGGTCACCGTCTGTGATGTGTGTCTTACAACATGAAGGTGGAGAGTTGTGGGAGAGGAGTGTTACAGCATTAAATATCTTTGTTCATTTGAGCTATAGTTCACCTGATAGTAGGTGTTTAGTTTACCACCACGGGGAAGACTGAATATTCTTGTTGTTTTCCCCTTTATATTTTTATAACTGAATTTTGTGAGTGTGTTTCGCTGGCTCTGGGCTTCTGAATGGGTTCTAATAACCTTCAAGTGTAACTATGATAAAATTTATAAAACAAATCAATATTAGTGTTACTGAAGGCTGTTTTTGCTATTGGCATCAATGTCCTATCAGACTTGTTCACTTTTCCAGGTTGTTCCCTCCTGACTAGATCCTTGCTTGTGTTGTATTTACGCTCAGATGCACTTCTGCAAAATTCAATTCAATTCAATTCAATTTTATTTGTATCGCGCAGTTTACAACATATGTTGTCATATAGCGCTTAAATGAAATTGTAGAATTGTTGAAGGCTATTCTGTGCTCTCAGAGAGACATTGATCCGCTGTCGTTGCCTGTAGACCTTCTGTGTAAGCGGAATACAGGGCAGAATGCACAGTTGTATGAACAATACATTAACGTTAGACCTCTGGAAGTTTTCAAATCTGCTTCTGAGGTTCATAACAACACAAGTACTACACACTTCCTGAGGACTTATTTTTTATGTGAAAGTAACAAGCATTGTACCAGATCAAGTGTACCCAAAGAGCTAAAGATAATGTAAAATGACTAGCGGCAATGCAACAATGAAACTGTAAAAAATGATCTAATCAGTATTTTTATATCTCATATAACTGACTATGACTGTCAAGAACAGGCCACAGTCGGTCATGTGTGGGTTGTCTGCTGATTAGACTGCAGTAGGAATGAGCAATTTAAAGAGCCCGTACTATGCTCATTTAGAGGTTTGAAGCTTTATTTCACAGCTCTAGTAAAACAGGTTTACGTCCTTTAACGTATACTTTTTTACACCATACTTTTCTCAGACTGTATATTACTGAGCACCTCTGTCTGAAAAGTGCTGTTTGATTTTGAGCTTCATAAGTTTGTTGATCTTTTACATGCAGAAAAAGGCTCTAAAACAGCTAAGGAGAAGGAAAAAAAACATTAATATGGACTCATTAAAGGGTTTACCTTTAATTGGAAATGATTAAAGTACACAGGCTTTATATTTTTGCAGATCATTGCCATTTTTAGGTAGCAATTGCATTTAGTCCACTGCTGAAGCTTATAGGGAATCCAAATGTTTTGGATTGTTGGGTGTTTCTGTCTCTGCCTTTGTGAAGCGCTATGAGATGACTTGAATTGAATTGAATTTTAAAAACCTGAGTTTAAATTAATGAAGGATTTCTCTCCATAAATGTTTCAGTTACTCAGAATAACTCCTTAATTAGCAGCCACCTTCTAGATAATACATCCATCCATCCATCCATCCATCCATCCATCCATCCATCCATCCATCCATCAAATACATTCTTCACATCACCCCTTCTATCTTCTCACATTTCAGCTCTCAATTGCATAATGTAAAACAGTCTTCCATTACCTATATCCATCTAAACAGGCTTCTCTGCTGTTACAGCGACGTACCCTTTCAGCAAACAGCTAATTGTGCTTATTGGGCCTCTGCGAGGATCTAAAGAAGCTCTGTAATCATTTCGAATGTTCGGTAATTGCGTGTGAAGATGTTTCATTTGTTTGCTTCACAGAGATGTGCCTAAAGGCTAAAATAACTGAATATTATCAAAATGTAGTATCTTTTTAATATTAGTTTGTAGACCACATTACCTTCTGATTTGGTTTCCAGGCTTCATTAACCAGTCTGCTGGATCCTCACTGAGATAAAATATTGTTTAATTTCACTGTTTTAGTCTGTAACTTGTACCACCAGGTAATCACGTTTATTTTGTCCTGGCAAAGACAGGCAAAGCATTTACTGTATATTTCACTTACACAGCCAAAACAAAGTATGCAAATTAAAATCCCTGCAGAAATCATCTCACAGTTATTCAGATGACAATCTAATCAAACAGCAGTTGCAGTTATTGTTAATTATTCTAAATGGTTTGTTCTGATCACAGAAGGTCTCTGCGGTCTTTTGGAATATCACAGGCTTCAATCTGGTGGCTCCTTACTGACAAGATCACTAGCATCTGAATATAGACAATGGAATCAACTAGCCTCAGTTCAGATCAGGTAAAAGATGTATTTACACGTAGCTTGATGAGTGCAGAAGATTTTAGTCACATTTATTTATTGGTATTATTTTAATAACATCTTCCAACTCAAGGTTGAACAAATTTACAACTCCTGTACAAGACGTTTCATTCTCCAAACAGTTTTTCCTATTGCGCCTTCATAAGGGTGGGGTTGGAGTAGTTTTAATCATTTCATTTAATGTTTTAGAAGACCGGGAGTTATTGCCAGAAATCAAACAAGCTTTTAAATATGGACATTTAAGCATCAGGAAGCTCATGATGAGCAGTGACTGATTTGATATCTGTTCCAAGGCTGGTATACTGCTATCCTGGGTACGAAGGAAAAAGGGAGCTTATGCTAAATTAAATCACAATGCAACTTCACGTAAAACTGTTTTGCTGAAGGATCTCTAACGTTATTAAATCTTCTGTGACTTTGCAGAATGATGTGTGCCTTAAATATTATTCTATATATTTCTTTTTTTTGTTTCACTCTGATGGGATTTAGGTGGAGATAGATTTTAAATGGGCTTAAGGAAGTCCAATAAGCTAGATTCCTTTTGCTTAATATTCCTTTTTTCTTATTTTAAATCTGATATGCACAAAGCTATTGTACAAAACAAGTGCAGCACAGTCTTTTATTGGAGCTTTCTGTCTTCCTTTCATTTGTGTTGTGGTCTGCCTGTCTTACAAAAGAGTGAGTGCGCCGCAATTGGTAGGTTTTCAAAAACATGGAAGGGAAACTGTTTCCACGCCACTGTAACATGGCACCATAACAGCAGTGCCAA